TCAAACCTTTATCTAATAAAATAAAAAAATGTTTCAAAAATACTAATGTAAAACTAGTTTTTTATAACTTAGTTAAAATAAATTCAATATTCACCAAACTAAAAGACAAGGTTGATAAACTAGAACAATCTAATCTAGTCTATAAAATACCTTGTGTATGTGTTCTAAATTAATGTATTAGTTTTATTTCTTTTCTTATTTTTCATTTCTTTTGCGAAAAAACAATAAAGTACGAGAAGTTGTGATAAAGATTAAATTATACACGTGTCGTGGAAAATATTGAAATTATTCTGGAATTAATTATAAATAGAAAACTCGTAACTCTCTTGATTTTAGAAAATTCAAACGTTAAGTGCACGAGTTGCTCGTTACGATGGAGATGGACCTTCGAAATATCTAGGCCATCTCTGCACTCGCATAATTTCTCCGTCGCATAACTTGCTTTTAAATTCTAAAGAAAGAGAGAAAGAGAAGTTGCAATGTATACTACACAAGCTAAATCCGAGTTATATTTGTATATGCTAAAGCTACACACATTTACACGAGATTTCATGTTATCAAATTATTTCTGATTGACCACTTCCGTTTGCCTCGTGGGTTACATCGTACCACCTTAACGTCAAATTAAAACCAATATATAAATTAATAATCATAAAATATGAACATTTTGAATATAATAACAGAACTTTCCGGTAGAACTTTTAATACGATTAATGGTTATTATAATTCTTAATGATAAGGTATCACAGGTAACTTGGACATAAAAAAGAAGTAGAACTTAATTTTAACTAAGTTGGACTTTTCGTCCCTTTATTGGGACTTATTCAGCAACTTTATTTTTATAGTTCAGCGTCTTTTTTCATTGGGTAGACATACATTTTTCTTTTTATAAAATATTCAAAACACAAAAAATCTAAAACTTCGTTAAGTATTCTTCTCGTTATAATTTCAAATCCTCAACAAAACTCAAAATTACTGGTTATTATAATATATATATATTATAAGTATATATATATATAAAACTTACTGAAGTAAAAAACTTAATTACTCATAAAAAACTTACTGGGTAGACATACATTTTTCTTTTTATTAATATTCAAAACACAAAACATCTAAAACTTCGTTAAGTATTCTTCTCGTTAAAATTTGAAACCCTCAACAAAACTCAAAATAACTGGTTATTATAATATATATATATATATAAAAAAACTTACTGAAGGTAGCCGCAGGTTGAGCATGATCCGCGGCCGTGGCTGCGGATGGAGGGGTGTAGCTGCTGCAGTAGTACGGCGGGTGCTCTATTTTGATCGCGTTTATTTGAGGCTGCATGTCGCTGAGGTCATGCAGTATGGACGCTGAAACCAGACACACATCAGCGGTTACGGATCCTCGATGCTTACCACCACCTACGTCATCCTGTACCTCGAGTTTCCGAAGGTATAGGTTGTATTCATCCTACCCAACCCATTTTATCATAACAATATCATTATTTTCCCCACCCTCACCATTTAACAGATTTAGTTCAACATTATTAATCCATACAAATCATTCGAACAACTAAAGACGTATAATTACAAATATAATAGAGATAAATGTATTATAATTAATCTTCCAAACGCATTCACACATGACAATTGTTTAAGCTGAATATGAGAATATATTGGAACGAGTCTACGTAAAAATTTATTCAATGATACTGATATATATAATAAAAAAAATAAAAAAAATAGATGTGGTAAGTCTTATTATTAGACAGTTAAT